TGATTCACTGAATTCTTTATGAAGTAAGAAGCTGTAAATTACGCATCTTTTCTTTTAAACATGCATTACTTTCCATCTTTATAGCCAAGCTGAATAAACAGTATCCCAGTGGCAGTTTTCTCCCTGGAAAAATTTCCTCTCTCTCTTCCCGCTCTTCCAATGGAGATCCAACAGAGAAGTGGCAGGAAGTTCAGGTAAGGAGCCCACCTTGACATTTGGGGCATTTGCTTCCTAAGGCAGGGGTTTTAAGAGAATAGCAGGCATCAGCCACACATGTGCCATTGACTGAGTGGAAATGGCAGTGTAAGAAATGCATTTTCAGGGAAACTCAGTGACTGGGAACGAGAGTGGCTTCAGCAGGAATGAGATGCTCTCCCTCGCTCTGAAGTCACAACAGTTGCTTTTCATTAGCAGTCATTCATTCTCTCATCAGCTGGGCTCGGGGTGCCAGGTATTTCTCAGCTGGGAATAAAGAAGCCTGGACTGCAGCTGGAGAAGAGGCTCACGGGCTGGGGCACACCCAAGTGTCCTGGGCTTGGCTCTGCCTCACCTGGTCATTTCCACACCACGAGGGAGGCAGCCACCTGGGCACCTGAGCCAGGTTTCAGGTTCTGAACTCCGAGAAATGAGCCTAGGAGAACCGCCTTTTCACACTGTGGCTGCTAAAAGATGAATTAGTATCCGTTCTAGCAAGAATTCATGTGAAGATGATTTTTGGGGGAAATACATATGAAGAATGGTTTGGAAAGAATTGGAAACATGTAGAAAATCTAATTGTTTCCAGAAAATATGGAGAACAGCTATAAATGCTTGCACATTTGGGAAAAAAAAAACACAAAACACCACCATTTCTATAACAGCTATGTCTTTGTAGGATGTACAGATGGTGTCAGACAAAATCATTTTGCTCAAAAACGCATGAAACTTGGCGCAGTCCAGGTCCCCCTTTACCATTCAGGAAGTCCAGCATAAAGTCCGAGTGACCAAACAACACAGTTGTAGAATCAGGAGGCCTGGCTTCCACCCCTGGTGGGGCCCCGAAGCCACCCCTCAACCCAGGCCCCATTCCTGCACCTGTGGCCTCCAGGGACACTGCAAATCCTGGGATTCCTTTACCCCTTTCCATGTTCTCCCAAACCACCCAGCATCACAAGATGATATTATTTCACCCGCTGAGTGGGCTCAGGCCCTGGCCTCTCTCAGCTGTATGCTAAGCAGCTCTGCGAGGCTCAGGGCCAGGAGCAGAGCTGCCTGGTTTTTGGCAACTGGATAAAGCGAGTGGCTTCAGAGCACTGAGATCTGGAATAATGCGGGTATGTCAGTAGACCCATTTCGGGCCACCCCGATGACTCTGTGCATACAGTGTGCAAGGGAGAGGCCTCATGGCACGGCGCCCCGAGGGCGCCTGCCTGCTTGGTAGAGGGGACACCCTGTAGGTCCCCTCTCTGGCCCTCGACCCCAGCAGGGCCTCCCCAAGGGGACAGTGGTCTCCTCACAGCTGCCCTACACCCCACTGAGACACAAACAACACCCTCTTTTGAGGCAAACAACTGACCACCCAGGCTTGCCAAAATGAGGACAGGCTGTGACAGGGGGCCGTTTTATTTCAAGGGTTTAATGGGAGATGAAATAAAAAGTTTCATCTATTAAAAAGAAAGGCAATAGACTGCCTTCTTCCAAATAAACAAACTATCCTTTGAACAAGAAAACAGCTTCCTAACCGGGTCAGGCTGGGGCCAGATCATAAAGGAGTCACGTGTCCCTCAGGCCCCCCCTACCCCCACCCCTACGCCCTGATTTCTGCCTCTGCTGCTTTGAGGAGCCCACTCTCTCCTGCCGAGGCCTTGCCAAGGAATGATCTGATGAGCTCATCTGACACAGGCCCTTCCCAGGATGCAGTGCTTACACGTGGAAAGGGGCCCCTGCAAATCTCTTTAAGGGTAGAATTCCAGGGGGGGAAATTTTCCTGGAATCTCTCAAATCGCACCATAAAGCCAGCTACCAGCCTCTCAAAATAGAAGACTTACCACCCCTCCAACTTTCAACATTCTATGGGCTTTCAAAAAAAAAAAATCTAAACCACCTGGCCAGTGTGGCTCAGTGGAGGAGCGTCAACCCAGACACCAAGAGGTATCCAGTTCAATTCCTAGTCAGGGCACATGCCCAGGTTTCAGGCTCAATCCCAGAGGGGGACGTGCGGGAGGCAGCCGATTGATGTTTCTATCTCATCAATGGTTCTCTCTCTCTCTCCCTTCCTTTCTCTCTAAAATCAATAAAAACATATTTTTAAAAGAAACTAAAGCATTCTTTTTCCTCTTATGTTTACAACTTCTCTGCCTAATGATTACAACTTCTTTGTGTAAATGTGTAAAGACTGTTATGTGGAGTGACTTACAGGATAGCAAAACTTGACAGGGTAGAACAATCTAGAGAATTCCTCTCAACTCCTACATTCATGTTCTGTTGTCATTGTTTATTTTATTGACTAAATAGAGTGCTACTGAGGTCGCCATTATTTCAGCACCTCATCTGGGTAGCAGGGACATAGATGGAACTCTGACCCTACCTTGTCCTCAAAGAGCTGATAGACTGTTGGGAGGAGAGGAGAGAAGTTAAGACACTCTACCACCCCCCCCACCCCCCCCCCCCCACCACCAAAAAAAAAGAAAGAAAAAAAAAGACAGAGCCAGCACAGAGCCTTGGGGGGGGGGGGGCACAGAAGACCATCTGGACCTCCATATGCAGTGGTATAGGTTGTGCACTGCCCAACTCAAGGTCACCATCACATAAATCACATTTACTCTGGAGCCCCCTGGAAACTCTGCGTGTGGGAGCCTGTGAGACTCTCAGGACAAGCATCTGGGTGTCAGCGACATGTAGGTCTAGAGAAGTAGGGAGTCCTGACTCCTAGATAGAAGGGAGGAACTGCTGAGAGTGATGGAATGATGCATTTCCTGCTGTGAGAAGGGCTCAGCTCTCCAGTGGAGTTTCAGGAGAAGGAGTCACTGATTAAAGTGTGTTCCATTTGGGGTCATTCATGTTACTTCCCAACCCACTTACAGTAACCACAGTGACTCCCAAGGTCTTATATGATCTGTTGTCTCCAACTCTCACCTCTCTCAATTCACCACCTGCCACTTCCCTCTCCCTAACCCTCCCTCGCTCTATACCAGCCATACTGCTCTCCCATACTGATCTTTGAATGAGCCACACATGTCATGTGCCTACTGCAGGCCTTTGCCCCAGCTGCCCCCTCCACCTGGAGCTATACTCTTCCGGCTGACCAGTATCCAACTTCATCTCTCATTCAGACAGTTGCTCAAACTACACATCCTCCGTGACTTCCCTGACCACCTCATTAACAGCCTCTCCCCACCCCCCAGGCATTCTGGATCTCCGGACAGTCCCTCCACTTGCTCATTTTTCCAAATCACCTTTCATCTTCTGGTAGACTGTGGATTTACTTCCTACCTACTTTAATGCTTGAAGAGCAGGATTCATCAGACTCGTTTCCATGTCTTTGGTTTTCCAGCATCTTCTGCTATAACTTGGTTCTAATGTTCTGAGTATGGCTATTGAGTCAGAAACCTGGAAATACATTTTGATTCAGTGGACTATGATCTGTACGTTTAGAAGATGATGTAAATGCTAACCGAGATCCAGTAGAAACAGAGGAACTGAGTCAACATTATTCCTCAGCCAGCGGTTCTGTACTCTGAATACACACTCATCATGAATAGAAAATATATAGCCATATTCATAACATGCAGTTTAAAGGAAAAGATTCGGGTTTTTGCCATCAAAACTAAAAACCACTTTTAAAATATGCCATCGAACTATTCCATTGAAGTATTGGGTAGTTGAGCAAATATTGAGTAGTGAGGGAAAGGCCTTGGTTTCTCCTCTTGGCTCATCCAAAAACTATGTGCAGCACTGGATAAGACTCCACATCATCCAAAAGTGCTCCCATCCTCCAAACACGTCCTTTATTACATTTTAAAAAATTAAGTGAGAAAACAGAAGTTTTCACATTGTACCAGAACTGTGACTAATGCTACTACTTTCTTTAGCTACCAAGATACTGCCACAGCCCCCTCCGCAGGGGGTGCAGGCTCGGTGCTCGTTTCCAGCAGTGGAGATAGATGTGCGCTGATCCCTCCATAGCTTTCTCCTCTCTCTTTGTTCGTGCTGACAGCCCAGCATGGGTCTGCGTGACCCCAAAGGGCTCTCTCGCCCACAGAGACCAGGATTTCAGCCTCCTTAACATCAGGCTTTCAGCTACTCAGTAAGCTTTTGTCAATTTAGGTCACAAATAAGTGAGAAATGTCTTTTTTAATTCTGGAAAGGAAGATACAGAAGTCTTCCCTCTATTTTTGATTCCAACGCAGCATCCTGGAAATAATGACTGAGGTCAAAACCCACATTTCTCTGGAGCTGAGCATCCTGAAACACAGTGCAGAAAAGGCACACTGTTTTTGCAGAGGTGGCCTGATTTTGTTGTGCTGTGGAGAAAAGAACCCTGGCCTTCAAGTCAAGAGGACCTAGAGAAAGTCAGTTACAGCTGTGCCCCTTACCGGGGGGCCCCAACTTGGGCAAGTCCCACATCTTCGTGGAACATCAGAGTCCTCGCCTGAAAGCACCCCTCCCTCCTAGGATTGCCATGGGAACTGAATGGGATGAGGTCTGAGAACATGCTTCGCGACCCTCAGAGAGCGATGCCCACAGGGAAAGATCATTTCTGCTCTGGGACTAAATTCTAGCGCTAACATTAAGCCGAGGACAGCAAGACTGGAAAGTCATTGGAAAGAGTTCATTATGATCTGGGTCATCCGGACCAGTTTTTCACTGGCAAAAACGTCCTCCCCAAGGAAGAGCCCTCGCCACGTAGGCTCCGTGGAGGTGCCATGGGGATGCCATGGGCAGGCAGGGAGAGCTACCCAGGCCCAGGAACTGCTCCCAGGGCAGGGGGGCAACCACCTCTTGGCCGCAACAGGACTCACCAGGTAGCGCTCCTCCTGCCGCATGCTGGGCGTGCGGATCATGTGATTCTGCTCCCCTCTCCAGTCTCCAAATCGACGGAAGAAGTAGTTAGACAGAAACCGGTTGACGGGGTCTCTGATGATGTTGATGTAGACAGGCTGGTCTCCTCCAAACCTAGCAAGCACACGAACACGGAGCCGGTTACAACCCATCACTTCTGGAGGGAAAGGAACCGCTGAGACAGACACCGTCTCCCTCTAGGTCAACGGTTCTCAACCTGTGGGTCCCGACCCCTTTGGCTATCGAACGACCCTTTCACAGGGGTCGCCTAAGACCATCCTGCATATCAGATATTTACATGATGATTCATAACAGTAGCAACATTACAGTTATGAAGTAGCAACGGAAATAATTTTATGGTTGGGTCACAACGTGAGGAACTGTATTTAAAGGGCCAGAAGGTTGAGAACCACTGCTCTAGGTTAACAGGCTATCATCAGACCATGTGCTAAGGTACCAGTGAACAATGCAATCAGCAAGCAGTTTCCCGACAGGCACTTTATCATCGTGCAGAAAGAACCTGTCCGGGGACCTGTGGGGAGGCTGCTGGGACTGTTCACAAAAATGACCTCATTTGTCAACTCTCTTACTAGGTTGTAGGTCTGAGGAGCGGACCAGGCTGTACTGGAGTTTGCATTCCCAGGGTCAGACGCAGACCCACAGGCACCTGGCTAGGCCTCAGTGAGTGCTTGAACTGACTGCTGCGTTCCGATCATCTTGCAGGTCAACAGGACATACCCTACATTCTAATTTAGATGGCCTCAGGCGAGGTGCTCTGCCGAATGTGGATCAGGGAGTCAACATTTCTTATACATTCACATTTACCTTATGAATACTTTATTTGTCCGACTCACTGCAGCCTCACAACATCTCAATAGAGTAGGAACCATAATTATCCCTGCCTTCATTTGGGGAAACTGAGGCAGGGAGCGGGTGAGTCACTGGGCCAGGATATGAACCTGGGTGGTCTGGCTCCAGACTCTGTATTCCAAACCATGGACAGAGGATGCTGGAATTGGTACACGTAAATGGGAGGAATCTCAGGTACACAACAAAAATCAGCATTGTTATCCTCAAGTGACGGCAAAGGTTTGTAGATAAAAATACAGCAAATATATAGGCGCTCCTTTTAAATTCCTCTCACAAAGGAACTGAATTAGACAAATGATTTGACTGCTAGCCCAAGAGCTAGGCCTTCCCTAGACAAAATGACGAGGTTGGCTAAATTTTTCGTAAGGTCCCTCTCCTTTCTCTTTGAACGGCCTGCAAGCCGTGACACAAGCAGCCTAGACAGAACACTCCAGGCTCTGGACAGAGGTCTTGCCCTGGGGACCTCCTGAGGGACCCACAGGCTTCTCTCGCCCTGTGACCCTGTGACCTTCTGATGAGGATGCCTAGACACTCCGTCAGGGGTCAGAAAGAGCTCCAAGAACACAAACTGATGTAACCTGCTCCCACCTCTACCCAGTTGGCAGACTCTTCGCCTTTCAAAACCAGCCCAGAATCCCAGTCACATCCTTCAGCAATTAACTGTGTCCCAGTTCCATCTTATCTTCTGCCTCCACGCCCTGCTTCTAGCACGCTGTGTGCACATCTGCCTCTCCCGTCAGACGGTGGACCTCCTGGAGCTAGGAACGATGTCACTGAGTACAGTACATGGCACACAGTAGGTGCTCAACCATGAAGAAACGAATGCCTGCATGCAGGCTTCTAAGTTTGCATGTCACTACCAATATCACAGGGCTCAGTTGTAAGAGGAAAGCGGACACACAGCACCAATCCTGTTTGCGTATTTATTCGTACAATGTTGTCCTCAGCTTCTCTGCATCTTTCAAGAGAATCTTCAGAGACAAGAATATAAACAAAGATAAAGAAATGACTCCAATGGTGGAATCTCAGGCACCAGGACATGGGAATGGTATTCAGGAACCTTGAATACAGCATATTGGAAAACTTGCTGCTCATGAGTAAGGTGAGCTGTGCCAACAGGAAATCTGTCAGTCCCCTTATGTGCACAAGATAACGTTCATGCTACCTGAACAGCAACTAACTAGTCCCAGAAGTCAGCTGTGCCAATCACCAGCTAACCATCATCATCCTAGAGATGCATCTTTCTCTTCTAAATGAAATCGTGTTTATATCTATGATAAATAGCAGCTAAAGTAATAATTCTAGGGCTTAGGAAGACAAAGCATGAACATTAGATGTGAATGCAACTAAGCCCTCAAAATTGTATCATGCTTTAAAACCTCAGCTGTACTTCTATGTCATGTGAAGAATGACTAATTAGCAGACTTGTCCAGTCATGGAACTTCATCCCAGCTTCCCACTATGAGATGGTCCTTGGTCTGTCCACAGCCAACCTCTCTTGAAAGCTACAGATGTGAGGATTGACAAGGCTTTGAGCATGGGTGACTTGCTCCTGTTTGCATGTTGTAACCCAATGCAAAAATTCCAGGGGAACTGTCCAAAACAGAAGTTGTAGGCAGTTCAAGAATTTATTGTCAAGTATCAGATAATATAATAGCCTCTCTCTTGCGATTTCTGCAAGAGAGGTGTCTGATATATACCCTCCTTCCCAGAAAATGACAGTGATAATAGTTTCAGCCTGCCAATTCTCATCCTTTTTCCAGGACACATGGCTTCCTCCCAAACTGCCAAAATCAGAAGGGGCATGTCGGTAATACAAAAGAGGCCAGGGAGAGAAAGAAATGTCTCACCCTCATTCCATTCTCTCTCAGGGTCAGTTTCGCCTCTCAGTAATTTTAAAATTCTGGTCAGAAATCCTGGTCATCCTTAGAGTGTCTCTGAGTCACTGAACCTACTGCCTGCTGCTGATTCCATTCTGTGTACTCCCCGGCCCCACTTCCCACCGCCCTATTGTTCAATCCCCCAAGAGCAGATTCCACAGCCTCCCTGCAAAGTCCATCCTATCGGTCCACCCCACAGTCGAGGAGTCTTTGTTACACACACCCCAGATTCCTAATCTTCCTTTTGTGGCAACTTCCTTTTGTTTGATCCAGTCCACACAAAGGATTAGCTTCTCTTCCTGGGCTTTTACAACTTTTAGACTTTTCAGCTTCAATTTTAATTCCTTTAATGTGTGTGTGTGTATGTGTGTGTGTGTGTGTGTTTAAATTCCTTTAGTGTTTGCTCTAATTTGGTCTTTATTGAGCTGTAAAATACTGTGGTGACCACAGCTCATGACAGGGTTGTGTGAACAGGAGAGAGTAGAATCAGGCCATAATTCTGTTTTTCACTTAACAACACACCCTCTTGTCCCTTGGTTGCCACAACAATGACTGCATATTTGAAGTTCTCTTTTAAGTTATCCTAAAATAGCAGGGATTTCCCATTTCTTTGGCATTTATTTGTATATAGGTCATATTCACCAACACTTTAATCACTTCTGTGGGTCTCCTTCTGGTCCACTGCAAATTTATCATATTATTTCTATTTTTCTTCTCTTGATGAGAACACAAAGATCCAAAGCAGCATATAAATCTCTAGGAATAATAACTGCATGGTTCTCATTTTTTTCATGCATTTTTAAATATCTCATTGTGAACATTTTCTTCCCCCTCTGCTACCGCAATCGACCACCTTCTTGGCAACATTCGTCACCTTTTTGATGAGCTACACAAAGCACCTGGGTAAGAATTTTAGGTACACTTTTACCGACACACATCTCTATAAGGTTCTGATGATCCCAAGCAGAAACTCTGTGCCCATTAAACAATAAGTCTCTTCCCCCTCTACTCCTAGCCCCTGGTTACCACCATTCCACCCAAAGTCTATCTTCTTTGTAACTTCTGGCCTGAAAGTTGAAGTTACCCTTGTCCTGTTACCTACAATAAAAGATGAAAACACTGAGGCTGGCAGTCCACAGCTTTGATCTTTGTAATGAGGGACGAGACACTCTGAAGTGAGAGAAAAGCCCTCCTGGGAAAGCAGATGATTGGGGGCAGATGAGGAGCTGCCTGGGGTGTGGGGCCAGTAGTGGTGGTTATTGAATGGTCCTTTGCTAGAAGCTAAGGCCAGTAATGGACCACTCATGGGGTAGGAAGTCCACCCTCCACCCTCACAATCCTAATAAGTGGACACTAGGTCTTAGCTGCCCCGTATAGGGCCTCCCATCACGAAACACAATCAGAAGAGACTCAGCCACTCTGTTCCCTGGCTAGGGAACATTTATTTAGTAGGAAGTGGAGACAAACAGGGTGAAATGGGGGCAGTTGAGCCACTGGAGTTGGGGTTCTTGCTCAGAGAGGAAGATGGCTTGATAAGACAGAACGTAAGTAGATGACCAGGAGTAAGGTTCTTCCCACGCACAGGGAAGTGAGCTCAGGGCAAGTCCAGGTTATGCTAACCCTCAGGCAGCCGCAGGGTACACTCACTCAGAGTGAGAAGGGAAGAGTGAGGAAGAGACGGCCATTTTAGGAAGATCAGTTCCGCTGTGTTGAAATGGGATAAACTGAGAGAAATCTCTCATTTTCAAATCAAACTTCTGGGCTCTGCTGACATAGGTAAAAAAAGTGGTCACTACCTTTGTCTTCAACGTTTGAGGCCCGGTGATCACTACAAAAGAGAGCTGCAGGGCACAGCATTTAAAAGGATCACTTCGCTAATGAGAGTAAAAACAAAGTCAACGTTTAGAAATAAGATGTGGAAACCCGACTGCGTTATAGAATTAACTTAGCAAGATCAGATTTGTTTTGTTAAATAATGCCATCAGAGGGCAGACTTTGTTCACGTCAGTAATAAGACTTCCCTTGAAGGAAAGAGACGGAGTGTCTAAAAGGCCTCCCCTTGCACAGTGCACCCTGCCAGCTTCTCTAGTGATTGATTTCGTTTTAAATGTTTTGCTTTTGTAAGTTAATGTTGGTATTGGAGCCATCATCTGAGACAAAAGATGAAATAGAAATGGAAACAAAGCATGGTGAGAAAGGAAGGACATAAGAAAGCTTCAGAGAGGTGGTAGTTTGAAATTATTTAGCATATTGATATCGCCTGTCATTCACTCGGACTATTCTGATAGTACTGAGCTCTGACACAGAACTTCACAACGTTGTCCTTGCAGGACCCAAGTTGGGGGATGAGGGGAATTGTGAATTGAAAAAAGAATTACTGCCTCCCCCCCCCCCAAAGTTTAGGAAACAAACAAACAAAAAGTAGGGGAAGGAGGAAGACAAATTGAGTTGCCTGTCACATTTTTTCCAGCATGTCCATCTAAGACAAACTTAAAGCCATGCTATTGATGTTGGGAAGTTAAACCTTTTCAAAAATTACAGTTCTTGAAGTTACTTCGATAACTGGGGACAGACACATGAAACCATAGTATGCGGATATTAAAACTCCTCCTTAACCATCATGGAAAAGAGTTGTATCTCTTAGGCCAAGGTGATTTGGACTCCATTCCCCAGCTAGTCCGGGTGGAAAACACTTGGCCGTGTGTGAGAGAGCACTGCCGCAGGAGACTCCCCCAGTCCATACCAAAGGCTGAAGTTTCTGCGTGCTTGTGTTCATCTCGCCTCTGGCAGGAAAGTTTCCCCAACGTAACCACAAAAACACTAGACCGGCCCGATACTGTTGTTTTCCATGGTTGAATTAATAAAACTGGATATGGTGAAATGGTTCCTTCTAGCTCTAAAGCAAGGACAAAGGAGGGATACAGAAGGGCACCTAGATGATGAATAAATGAAATAAGTCAGCTATTGAAATAGCCAGAAGCTCACAGGATAACATTTCTCAGAGTGTCTAAACTTCAAGGTAACAATGACCTATTAATGGGGGGCGGTGCAGAGAATTAAGGAGCAATTCATTTTGATATAATGCCATACCCTTCAGAAGTTCAGGAAATTCTGGTGCAAAAGAATGTGTGGGGAGAGAGGCCAGACTTTGATTCTTACATTCTGCTCACCAGCAAGTACCTTGTGACACGTTAAGAATGTAAGGAAGATTAGAAATAAAACATCAACAAAGAATATTGGGTTGCAGTATCGATTCTTCTCTTAATAACCTCATTATCTTGAAACAAGCCAGCCACATGCCTGTCAGCAATGATCAGGGCAGGTTTATTAGGAGCGGTCAATTATCTCTACGCCTTACAATTCAAAATATAAAACGCACTTTAAAAACACATGGAAGCCCTCTTAACAAGCCCCAACTTCGTTGTTTCTCTCTAATTGTATATTTTGGGGCACTTTTTTTTGTATGCCCACACTTTGCCCATTTATACCTGAGACATTTTCCTGAAATAAATCTATTCCCTTGAAAAAGAAAAAGGTGATTTTTTAACTTCCCATGTTCTTTGAGTAGAACATCGTCTTGTAAAGAATGAAAGTTCAATTTGTCATTCTACCCGTTTCTAGAGGTCTTGCACCTAAGGCCCTGGCCCTGTGCATGTGGCTGGGAAGAGGGGTGAGGCTGCTCCCGCAGTTAGTATGAACTTATTAAAGGAGCAGAGCTGGTCAGCTCGGTCTCTGCCTTTGCCTGCTTACAGCCTGGGCTGTCATGCACTGCAGTTCCCATTCGCTGGGTGCTCTCCGTCCCTCTGTTTGTCCTGCTTTTGCTCATGCTGGTTCCTGTGCCGCCAATGTCTTCCCCTTCAATCTGTCCAAAGCTGGCCCATCCCTCACATCCCAGCAGCAATGGCTCCTGCTCGCAATGCTCTCCAATCCTGCTTTTCAGGGTGGAGGGTCCTGCCTCCCACTTCCTCTGGAAGAGACCCTGTGATTTTCTCTTCCAGTTTATCACACTTTATTGTCACTTCTTCATTAATGGAAGAGTTTACAGTTACCTGAAGGCAAGGACCATGTTTCTCGTTCCCTGCAGACGCCCCAGTCCTAGGGCAGTGTACAGGGGACCGGGGTCCTCAATAAACATGTGTTTAATTGAACAAAATGGAATGGAGGAGTCACCAGCAGGAGCAGGGCCCCGCCCTCAAAGCATTAGATAGAGACACCAGGAGGCTACCCACAGCAGGAGCCAACCCACGGCCAGACTCCTGCCGAGATGCCTTTCAAAGCCACTTTGACTACATAGAATGTTTTTCTTTCCAGAGAACCTGAAAGGCTTTCCTTCATGTGCTTAGGGCATCCCTGTAAGGTGGTAGTGGCAGGAACTGCTCTACTTTACAGATAGAAAAACAGAGACCCCCCAAGAGGTTAAACTGCTCGCCCAGAATCATGGTCAGTGAGAAGGTCTAACACCCAGAACAGCACTGATGCTGCAGATGTGGGGTCTTCTAAAGGTATTTATCTTTTTTTTCTTTCTTTCTGAATTAAATTAATCAAGATTAAACTCTTGAACAGGTTTTCGACATTAGGGGCCAGGATATAATATAGTCATCGCCCTGGGCCCAGCTCTGCTGCTCCAATGAAGATATGGGCTTTGGCTTGTCATTAGAGTTTTCACTGTCCTGAGCTCATTATTAAGACTTGCTGCATTGCAATTTGTTTTGGTTGTAAAGATTTGACCCTGAAGCAACAGTGAAATGAATCAAGTTGGAGGGCATCCGGGGTGACGCAGAAGGAAGCTCATGAGAAGAGTAAGGGTCAGAGGGGCCGAGCTCGCCGCTGTACAAGTCATAAAAGGCAATGCCTAAAATAGCTAACAAGTCCTCCTTATCTAATTATGTTGAATTACATGTTCTTGGCGGACTGGAAGTGAGAGGCAGGGCACAGACTCAAGACAATCCAGTAGCAAGCAAGTTTATAAATGTGGTTGGGGACCAGCTCTCCTGGTGCATGGCCCTGGGCCACTGAGGATAATGTGCAGGTGTCCTATTCACCTATTCCCTGTCCCAGGAACCTTGGTTAGCAAGCAGGCTGAAAACCTCAGGGGAAGCTTGCTTTCAAAGATAAGACAGCAAACTCCTCTTTGCTGCTTAATAACTTGCTTTGCTGAATCTCATTCTCTTTACACTTAATTTGCACTGGGCCTGGGGCAAGGCAGGGAAGTCCTTTGAAGGCTAAAACCTTCTTCCACCCCCTTAGGTTGATAGGCATCCTGTGGCCGGCAGAGCTGGAAACACTCAGGGCCTCCCTGGGTGCCTGGCCCTCAGGGGCCATTAGGCCAGCACAAGCCAGTAGGACAATCCATTGCTTCCTATGGACTTGAGAGGTGCTAGTATCCCTATGGGAATAACAGTGAGTTGGTTGATGAGGGAGGCCCAGGGTCCCGGGCTGGTCAGTGGATCTGTCTCTGGACCTAGTGCTAGGCCAGGGGTACAGCTGTGAGCTCAGACATGGGCCAGCGAGAGGAGAGGAAGAATCTAAGGACTTCCCATTCACAGCAAAGCCCATTGACAAGGGAACCCATGCAAATGAATCTCTGAGTAAGAGAATGCCCAGAACTCACAATTAACAACTTCACAAATCAAGGGTCTAAAAACTTAAATTTGAAAATTTTACATTATTATCAGAAAGTCCCTGCAGCCTAAGAAAAAACAGATTCCTAAAATATCCCATCAGCATCAAACATGCAAGGCTTAGACTAGTCAGATGAGTATTAAACAGGCAGGCATTTCACCACTATGTCATTTCCAGAGTCCTGTGTGGGTTCAAGTTGTACAAAAATGTGCAATGAAATATTTCTGTTAAAATACTTGTGTCTTGCCCTAGTTGGTTTGGCTCAGTGAATAGAGCATCAGCCTTTGGGCTGAAGGGTCCCGGGTTCGATTCTGGTCAAGGGCACATGCACAGGTTGCGGGCTCGATCCCCAGTAGGGGGCATGCAGGAGACAGCCGATCAATAATTCTCTTTCATCATTGATGTTTCTAGCTCTCTCTCCTTCTCCCTTCCTCTGAAATCAATAAAAATATTTTTTTAAAAATAAAATAAAATACCCATGTCTTACTTCCCAAGTTATTTCTTTTAGTACAAAATCTGATTTTGTTTTTTTTTTTTTAAAAGAACTATCAGGTAAAATGGCTTCTCATTAAAAATAATTTCAACTTTTCATAAGATTTGAGATTAGTATTCTAGAAAGAAATGAAGCTTTTGTCCAAATATTTCAAATTTTTGACCCCTTCACAGCAAAAATAACAGGATTAAAAAAGGCTTTTCAAAGGCGATTACACCACCTTGGAAATGAAGGTAGATTTTTAAGTAATTGTTTGTTAGAAGGAGTCTAAGTCCTGAAAATAAATGGAAAAGAAAACCATTAAACAGGAAAATATCTTACCTTGAGAAGTTGAGGAAATGAACATGTCGAGTAAATAAATAGGGCTGTTCGGCAGTACTTATATTTTTAATCAGTTCCATCTATTAAAAAAAGTACAAAATTAGCATATATAGGATCTAATTTTCCAAGCCATATTAAGCTAAAGGTTATCTCCCCAACTCCTTTCATCCTCCCTTACTACCTCCTGGACCAGAGCCAAACAGCTGTGTTTTGTGCAACATTTATGAACTTGACTTATGGCTTCTTACTGAATAAAACAGTGCTGTCCAGATTTATAGTCCTGTATTTAATTTAGTTGATTGCTACCATGAAAACAATGTGACATAATAATTAATTTTAACTGGAGAAGTCAGTGTATTGCTGTTCAAAAATGCAAATAAGAAAAATGCCTTTAATTCCTTCCATTAAACTCACACCAAGACAAGAGGTTAATCATTATGTTATATTTCTATAAGGATATTACTGGGAGATGCAGAAATATTTGAAAATCATTTTGCAGAATTTAAAAGTGGGAGTAAAATGAGACAATGCATCATTGTTTTTTCTCTCTGAGTATAAACATTTACAGTAAAGCCAATATTTCATAGGAAACACACAAAACCCCCCAACGTCTTGGGTTCTGGTGGGTGGTCATCTGAATTATTTATTTACCATTATCGGCAAGGCAAGACGTAGTTTATATTCATATAAACTAACATTTATGGACTTCTGGAACATGTCACGATACAGAAAACATTCAGTAAAATCTCTTAGAAATTCCAAGCATTCTTATGACTCCCTGGCTTCCTAAATTCTACTTTCCTTAGATTTCCTAATTGGCTCCATCAAAACTGACACACTGTGGAATTTTTAAGAGGCACATTGAAAATGGCTACTCTGGAAGTACGTCACAAGTCCAGCATTTCATATTTTATGAATTAGTTCAAGTTGAAAACTGGAAAGAAAAACGGGCATTCACATGGTAAGCGCGGCAGCAGCAACAACAATAAAACCAGAGCTTGGAACTCCACGTGTCTCAAGCAGGAGAGAGAGCCTGGTCTTGCCTTGGTGCCTCCTGTCTAGTGTATAGTGACACACATACAACGCTCAGTAAATATCTGTTCAATAAATTAACTCCAACTAGTACATGCTTTATAGATGCTACACTCCGATGCCAACGTCTGATCCTTTTATTAGATATTCATACTCACAATGGTTGTTTGAAGATATGAAATTGAATTTTAAAGTAAATGACTTGCCATTTCAAAACCCTGTGCTTTTGTTTGTCAGTGGCAGACATGGGTAAATAATGATCTGTCTAGGCTTGGGCATAAAAGGAAATTGAAATCTGGCTCTTTACTGTTTACCCTCTCACCCTTCCGCCCCCCTCCACATGCCCTTGGTGCTTGTTTTTGGTAATAAAACTTCTTGCTTAGTCACATTGCAGATTTTAATTTTTGATGGATCAACCAATAGAATTATTGATTTAGAAGCACAACCAAATGTCCCTGAGGATGTCTGCTTAGAAGCATAACTCTTTACTGTGTGTGTGTTTAATACAAACACCACTTAATGCCTTAATCTCTCGACTATTTTTATTCAGGTATTTCTCTGCACACACAAAAGCAATATGAGAAATCCCTCTGGTATTAACAAGAAGACTGGAAAAACAGGTCATAAGAAAAACCAATTCTTTCATGTATTCAACATTATATTATATTCTCTAAACACATGTCAACGTGTTATACTTAATGGAAGAACAGTATGTGGTTAGATTCTGAGAACTGTGTCACAATAGTCATAAAGCTGTCTAGTTCACAAGGAAAAATTGATTAGCAGTGACAATGCATAACTCTTTCTAGACATATCTTCAAACATAGCATAAAGGTATGAATGTTCATGTTTATTGCCTTGGTACAGTGAAGTGGGAGCTCACTTCAGCTCTCCTACATTCTGTCACTGCTCAGCAAATTGTAAAGCTCCTTAGGAAGCTCCACAAGCACAGGTTTAGGGCATAATGTTCAAGGTGTCATTTGATTGTTTAAACAAATACTAAGACTCTCCCCATTTCTAGTGATAAGTGATGGTCTCCTGAACCCCTGCTGCCTATCACCTGAGTTACCCCTCTTGGTCCTCCCACCATTGTTCTTGCCTGAGTCCTATCTGCGTGGGGGGCATCATGGGTGGCAATGCACTACCTAACATCATCACAGAAGCTACCTGTCCTTCTTTTCCTTGGCTCATTTACTGATTCCACTGCATACATTCATTCATTCAGTATTTATTGGGCAATTCCTAGGTCCTGGAGATGAAAACATGTAAATAAAGTCAGTGGGAAGACATTTAAAGACAAGACAGTGGAATGCATCCTAATGGTGTCCCCAAACCTACCATGACACAAGCCACACTCTTGGTCCTCACCCATCTTTACTCCTTATAGCTTATTTCATCTCTGAAGAGTCCGTTTCTGGTCAATGGTATTCTCTATATGCTCACATTTGATCTGGGTCTTTCCTGAATTTCCATATTCAATCCCTTGCTGAGTTACATTGATTTTACCTTTGCTATCTGACTCTCAAGACAACACTCCTTTGGCCAGACAAACTAGACCCCTCCTTAATCTTTCCTTACACATGTCCAAGCTTGACCATAGGCACAAGCTTCCTCTTCTGGAACATTCTTCTTCTTCTCTTTGCATGTCCAAATCCTAACTGCTCTTTACATTAGACTAAAATGACCACCTCCAAGTACACTTTCTGGATCTCTCATTCAACATCCATTGAGTTTCATCTCTCTGTCAGGCAATGTACTGCTTGGGGCCATGGCTATAGAGATAAACTATTTTGTTCTTGTTCTCAGGAAGCTCAGATATGTGGACCAGGTGGACTAGCAGGCAGGTAGCATCACATGATAACCACCATGGGTAGAAGGCACAGAGATGAGGCACCTATCCCCACCTGAAGGTGGAGAGGTAATATTTCCCTAATGAGGTGTTTCTGAGTGGTTTGCAAGGACCCACAGGAGTTAGCAAGTGAAGAAAGGGACCCCTAGCATTGCAGACAGAGTGAACAGCAGAGGCAAAGGACAAAACATGAAATGATAGGGATATTAAAACTACCAGGACTTCCATGTGCCAGAGGTCGGGCATGGGATCAGTAAGGCAGCAGATAAGACTAGAGAGGGAGGGAGGAACCAGGTAATTGAGGGCCCTACAGATCACATGAGGGATCTTGACTTTTATCCAATGGGGTATCCACAGCTAGAAAGGATTTTCTTTTTTCTTCCAGATCTGAGGTCAAGGTGGAGAATGTGAAGAACAAAGGTAAGGTTAAGAGAAAGAAAGCTTAGTTAGGAAGACCAGGTGGGCAATAATCCCAACAGGAGATGATGAGGTCATGAACCAAGACAGCACTTCTTACTGTGGTCCTCAGAGCGGCAGCAGTGGCATCAAGTGGAAACTTATTAAAACTGCACATTCTCAAGCCCTACCCCAGACCTACTGAATTAGAAGGAACTCTGGGGTTTGGGCCCATTGATATGTGTTTTCACAAGCCCTCCAGGAGATTCTAAGGCATAAAAGTTTGAGAACCACTGAACGAGGTCAATGGAAGTGAAGATGGATGAAGAGGTTTAGGGATATTAAGGAAGAAGGATCTGCTGAGCTTCGCATACAGCTGATGGCCGAAGGGAAGGAGAGCCATTGGTCGAAGAGCTTCCTTCTCAGAGTCCTGGCTTGGATCTGAACATGGTGCCCATTTGAGGAGATGGGAAAGGCTGCAGGAGAAACAAACCCGGCTGCAGAAGTGAGGGGGAAGGGGTTTGGTTTTAAACATCTTTGGCTAGAAATGACATTGCCTTCCTTGACTTCCCACGGCACTTTGAGGATTTCCCAAGACATGAACTTTTTTCTGTTTTTCTATCGTTGAGTTTGTGTGCTAGCTTTGAACCAAGTTGTAAGCTCCCTAAGGGCTGTAGTCAGGCCTGATGTATTCCCCCCAGAAAACCAAGCCTAGGTATCGGCACAGAACATATACCCCTTAATTGTTTATGCAATAAAGATGCTCCCATTAGAAAAATATTTTTGGAGTCAAGAGATGTACAGTTCACTGAAGACAGAATTATCACTCAGGCCTTGAGTTTGGCCTTTCTTGGACAAACCTGTGCATCGATTACCCCAGTGGGGCTACAAGTTTTACTATTACAGCATCTAGGACACAACAGCAAACAAACTACCATTTCCTGGGCTGCACACTGTATCTAGAAGCTACTGTACCTAGAAGCTCTTTATACATATGTTGTCATTTTATTCTCAAATGACTCCACAAGTTAAGCATTGTTATCCGCATTTACAGATTAAGAAACTGAGGCACAGAAAGGCTACCTAGATGGTGTACGGTCTTGTTGCTGGAAAAAAGTGGAGCAGGATTCAAATTCAAGTCTGTCTGACACCAAAAGTCCTGTTCTTTATCACTGATGTGCAATTTACTCACTGTTCCCACTGTTACTTGATTCATACATAACCTCTTAAAATGGGAAGGAGGGACTGGTTAGCAAAATAAGTCTGGAGAATAAAGAGGATTTGTAGGAATATAAATTTTCTACCTTGCATGTGATTTGCTGAAAATTAAAATGAAATTATAATAGGTAGGAAAGCATTAATAATAAAAAATAAGAGCATTAATATTATCAGAGATATATTTTTAAAAGTTCTAGGTGGGAAACACTTTATCTTAAGAGTAGGAATGAATTTAAAATGCTAATGAGAGAGAGAGAGAGAGAGAGAGAGAGGGAGAGAGATAACAGTGTAATGGGATGTGTCTAAAGGAAGTAGTGCATCTGGGAATGAGATAGAACTGAGGTTTTAACAAAAAGGTGAGAATCAAACAGAATTTATAATGCAGTGGATATGCCAGGAAGCAGTTTCTAATCTTTTGCTTTCAATCTAGCTGGGAAGGTAGAACAGAAAACCTTTACCTGCAGATGTGCAAACACAGCTAGTTACTAGAAGACTTTGCTCCTGACTTCTTTGGGAAATAATGCCAGCCCTCATGGTGATGACCCTACTCGGGTCTGAATTCCTGTGTCCCTCGGGAACAACTAG